ATATAAATTAGTCTGGGGAGCAATCTCCTCCCACATGGTATCCCCTAAAAATAGCTCCATATATTGCATAGGGGAGAAGTCATCCACATTGACATTAATGCCTGTGTTGGCACTAAAAGGGGTGATTTGGGGCTCAGCTAACTGTGGAGAAACCTGTTCCTCCTCCACATTCGGCGTAGCAGAGAAAGCACAGCTTCTTTTTGCAGCCAGCTCACACACAGATGACATGTCAGAAAACTGACCTGGGTCAAAATCGGACGCAGTGTCAGTGGCGTCAGAGTCTGGCTAACACAGAGTTAAAAAACAGACTAAATGAGACTAAAACTTCTGTTAGCAGCAATCTGTAAACTAACTCCTGCAAAAAGAATCTAACTGGAGATTTGGGGGAAGGATACTGACTAACAGAAATTTGCTGCTTTCAAAATAAACAAAAAAAATAAATCAGGAACAAGTATTATAAAAATGTATTTTCTGTGTGGTAGACCTTAAAACATTCTCCAATGCACAGTCCAGGTTTTGTATGGCAATCGGGACAGTGAAAAGGGGTGTCTGTCCTTTTCCCTTTTTTATAACAGACCCGGCAACGTTTCTGGGGGTTTCTTTTTTTTGGTGTTGGCGGTATCTTAAAAATAAAATGTCTAGACGACTCTTGCACTGTCGTTGGAACTTGACCATCTCCATAAATTATTGTGGAAATCAGCTTGAGCTGAAATTGGAGATAGGTGGTTCTTCCTGGATTAATTTTTTTAAAAAGTAAAAATGAATTATGTGTTGCTACTTGCAACAGGTAGATAGCCACCTTTTTATACCAGGCTTTTGTCTTTCTTAAGATAAGATATGGCTGCATCAGCTGATCAGCCAAATCAACACCCCCATGTGCCTGTTATAAGCCCTGATGCACACCGGTTTTGTCTGTACCCTGCCTCGGACAGTGACGTCTGACATGCCCTCGTTATGGATGGTTGTTATCATGTGAACATCCTTCCTGTCCTTAAATTTTAGCGCAAGCAGTTCAGCCTTGCGCAGAGCTTTGCATTCCCCTTTTTTTAATTTGGCCTCTATGAGAGGTCTGGGAAAATCCTTGGCATTTCTTCTTACAGTGCCGCAGGCCAGTGTCTGTAAACTATAAAGAATTTTAAACAAGTGGACACTGCTGTAAAAATTGTCCACATAAAGGTGTGAACAAAGGGTTCAGTAGGTCCCAAACAAGTTTCCCAGTTGTCCCCAGAGAGTCAGGACAGCCAGGAGGGTTCAGTTGAGCATCTTTCCCCTCGTATACACGGAAGGCAAATGTGTAGCCACTTTCGCTCTCGCAAAGTTTGTACACTTTAATGCCATACCTAGACCGCTTTGAGGGGATATATTGTTTGAACCCTAATCTCCCTTTGTATTTCATAAGGGATTCATCGATGGATAAAGTTTGTTGGGGAGTATAAACTTCAGAAAATCTGTTCTGAAGATGGTCTACCAGTGGGCGTATTTTATAAAGCCTATCATATTCGGGGTGATCTCTGGGGTGACAGAGCGTATTGTCGTTAAAATGTAAGTATCTGAGCAGCAGCTCATATCTTGGTCTAGGCATTGTTTGGGAGAATATAGGAGTCGAACAAATTGGGTTGGTGCTCCAGTAAGACCGGATTGATGGCTTCTTTATTATCCCCATGAGCATGGTAAGAGCCCAGAATGTTTCAAGTTCAGGGACATCTGTGGGATGCCAAGCATGCTCCCTGACTGTATAGCTACCTGGATTGGTCTCAATAAATTGGCTAGCGTATAAATTAGTCTGGGAAGCAATCTCCTCCCAGATGGTATCCCCTAAAAATAACTCCATATATTGTATAGAGGAGAAGTCAACCACATTCACATTAATGCCTGCGTTGGCACTAAAAGGGGGGATGTTGGGCTCAGCTAACTGTGGAGGTACCCAGTCCTCCTCCACATTCAGCGTAGCAGGGGAAGCACAGCTTCTTTTAGCAGCTGGCTCACACACAGATGACATGTCACTAGACGTGCCGCTAAACTGACCTGGGTCAAAATCGGACGCAGTGTCAGTGGCGCCAGAGTCTGACGCCAAGAAGGCATATGCCTCCTCCAAGCTGTACATGCGCTGCATGTTTCACACCAACAGACTAAACTAACAAAATACTAAACACAATATTTTTTATTTATTTTTTAAACACTAAAACAGACTAAAACAGACTAAAACAGTAATCCCTAAACTAAAAACAGTAATCCCTAAACTAACTCCTGTTAGAAGAATCTAATGGAGATTTGGGGAAAGGAAACTGACTGACTACGACAGACTATGACAGACTATGACAGACTACGACAGACTAAAACAGACTAAAACAGACTAAGACAGTCTAAGACAGTCTAAGACAGTCTAAGACAGTCTAAGACACAGATTTTTTAAAATAAAGTTAACCCTTAAGGGCAAAAAAAAAAATACAGACAGTAAAAATGCACTGTCTGTAACAGATCTGGCAGGGAAGGGGTTAAAAAAGGATTTTAATTAACTGAAGATACTTTTTATTTTTCACAGGAACAGCTGCTGCAACAAACTATCAGGATCTCTGTCTCTCTCCTCTCACAAAACGCTACAGAGAGGAGAGAGGCAGAGATCAGTGTCAAAGTGAGTGTTTGTAACACTGCCGCAATTGGCTGTTACTATCTGCCTGGGATGCCGGGCAGATAGTAACAACGGGATTTCAGCGGAAGCGATCTCTGATCGCTCCCGCCGCCCGTTTTCCGTTAGGACGGTTCAGGACCGTCCTCGGTCGGCAACGCAAAAATGCCGAGGACGGTCCTGAACCGTCATGCGTCCTTAAGGGGTTAAAATTAACTTTTTTGTGTAGAAAAATCCTGTAGCAAAATCCAAGTAAATCACATCCACTGTAACACTCCAATCAACATTTGTATTACTTCTTTATCGAACACCATTAAGTTAGTTTGGCATAACCATATTATAACCATACTGATAATTGCTAATGATATAGCTGCAACCCACTGCAACCCACTGGTGGATCCAGGGGGGGGAAACAGGGCAATTGCCCCACACCCCCTCCCCAAGACTGCCCTGCAATGTGCCTACACAGACCAAAGATCTACCTCCCCGGTCCGCAGGCACCGTGCTGGCAGCCGGCAGGGGAGGGAGGACCCGGGAGCTCAGCCTGCAGCTCCGTCGGGTCCAACTCTTGCGAGCGCAGAGCGTTGCCGCGAGAGTGAACTCTAGAGTGAATTCTAGCCTTGGAGCCAGGTCCATCTAGGGTTAACCCTGCAGCTGTAAACATATCAGTTTCAGAGAAACTGCTATGTTTACATTAGGGTTAATCCAGCCTCTAGTGGCTGTCTCATAGACAGCCGCTAGAGGCGCTTCCACGCTTCTCACTGTGAAAATCACAGTGAGAAGACGCTGGACGTCTGTTGGAAAGCATTGAGTAATGCTTTCCTATGGACTGACTGAATGCGCGTGCGGCTCTTGCTGTAGTGGTTATTGTGCATGGAGTATTTCCCGAGATCAGGCTCTGGATCCGCCACTGTAGCAACCCATCATATAATTTCCCAACCACAGATTGTAAGCTCAGAGTTCTGTAGTTTCTGGGTTGAGCTTTTGTAATAAAAATTGTAAAAGGACATCAAGGTCCCTGAAAATAAGTAATTTTCCATTGTGTAGGGCCGCTAAAATATATGCCAAAATAAGCTCGGACTCATAGGTCCAGCAAAAGACCTGGATGACAATTTGAGCAAAACATAAATAACAACAAAGGAATAATAATAAATAAATAGCCATGAAACAATACTGTCAAACCGTGTGTTAAAGTACATTTGACTGAGGTCATAATAAAATAAATCAAACTACCAAGCTTCTATGTACAGTGGTGATTTACAGGTGTCTCATTTACACTGGTATCTCTCCGCAACATCCCCTGAAGGCCCCTATTTTGTACACCCTTTGATAAGTACAAGGTCTCTCCAGTGGGGCCGATGTGAGAGAGAGCAATAGTCAAAATTAAGTAATGGAGCCTTAACTCCTCAGTACTGGGTAAATATTTCTGACCAGCAACTCAAGACACCCTCTAAGTCTGCCTTTTCCCTGGAGCGTTATCCCATTCCTCCCTTGGATGTCCAGTCTTGATTTATCTTTTTAATAAAATCCCCTCCTCCCCATTTTTTAGAGACTTTTTGGATTCCCTTAAAATTTATCCCACCAGGATCTTGATTGTGATAGTTTTTAAAATGTTCAGATATACTGATTACTTAATTATTTTCTTATGTTATGTTATGTTCTGCTATTCTTTTCTGGTAGTTCTCCTATATACTGCTGTCTACAAGGACACGATAATAAATATGTAACATTTTTGCTGCAGTCTGATCTTTTATTTCATTTTTTTTTGTGTAGCTTTACATTTAAAAAAAATTATTATCCTCTCCTTTAAACCAGTGGACTTCTACATCCCACACATTATCCACATTACAAAAAAAAATCAAATTTTTTTTTTTTTAATTATTATTTAAAAAATGATCCATTTTGGGGGCGGGGCCCGACCACCGAGCTGGATGGCAGCATGCATGCTGAGCTCCTGCAAGCCATCAAACTCTAGGCTTTGAAACTATGATTTCCAGCACCAGAACCAACCACCAGCGGCGGTCCACAGAGCTAAAGGGACACTGGATCCAGGGTGAGGCTGGCTTATCGAGCTGCAGTCCCCTGGAGGAGAGGGCACCGATGCCACAATCGAGGCCTACTCTGGCGGTGAGAGGGGCAGACGGCCGCTGCCCCACTATCCTGCCTAACAGAACCCAGCCATGGGCCCAAACGAGTGTGGACAAGGCCCTGTCCCCCCCCCTCTAGACCGGTGGGGGTGATCCCGGTCCTCACCCCAAGGCCCTGACGAAGACATGGCGGCTGAAGCTAGGGGGCCTAACAGCCATGCCCAAGATGGCAGACGACATGTGCACAGGAGACATGGGGAGAAACAGCTCACTCCCCGCTCTCACAGCCGATACTGCAACCCTTGCCTCTAGACCATGCCATACAGGGAAGCAGGATTACCTTTACCCACTAACACAGCCACTCAAGTCAGCGATGTCAGCGGCTGCCCTGGGGGGATGGGGGTACACAACAGACCGGCCGTTGCTGTATGGAGGGACCGAGTCTACCACCAAGCGTGTCACCTCAGCGGTGAGACAGACCTCCTACTTGCCTCCCACTCAGCCTGCAACAGCACGAACCCTGCAGCGGCAGCTATGTGTGGATGACGCCGGACCCCCCATCGCGGCTGACAACGGCCCCCAGGGGACCAAGCAGGACAAGCACTCCGTACCACGGCTGCAACCCCAGGGAAGCCGGCGAATGGCTCAGAGAGCGGCAGGGCTGGACTGTGTTTTGCTGCCTGCTCTGGTGGACACTCACCCACTGCTGCATGAAACGGACAGAGCAGGTATCAGATAGCAGCGGAACTACCCCTGTATTTGAGGTCTCAGCAACACCACAACGACGGCTCTTCACTGAGTCAGCACTGGTAGTTCCTAATGGCCGGGGTGAAAACGGCATTAAAGCGACATCACAAGACCTAGCCTGAATACCAATTATAACCAAACTACACTAGCCTGTTTGTAAAGCTACTGCTATAAATATATGAATCAAGCAACCTTTCATATCTAGCAAGTATTTTGTGCATAAACTTAATCTTGGTAAAGCGAATAGATATGTATGCTTAGCTTAATCAGTTATGCAAATCATCACTATATCATTTTCTTGTCTTCCTCATATCTCAAACTTGTTTAAAAAAAAAAAAAAAAAAGTGCAGCATCTCTTGACTACCCATAAGAACTGTTTATGATGATCTCATGTGTTGAACAAGTCAGTGTTTATGCATGTAATTTACTCTGCACTCAAAAATAAAGAATTAAAAAAAAAAAAAAAAATGATCCATTTTCTCTTCTTTTTTTTTTAAAAAAATGTCACCAGATTTGTTCTAAAATTGGTTGCTCCCCTAAAAGTAATCATCGGTTGATTTAGTAAAATCTTATTAAGATTCTCATCTAATTTTAATAGTGACATACATTTCTTGATAATTTTCTTTATATTTTTATGTTCTTTGCCATAGTCTAACACCACAGGAATAAAATTATATTCTTTTAATTTTTTTCTTGTACCCTTTGTCTCTCAATACAAAAGGCTGATTTAAAATATACTCTGGATAATTATTTTCCCCAAATTTCTCTTAAAAAATAATTTTTCATCTCTAAAATTTCTCTAAAGTCTTAATAACTGTCCTTTTGGTATATTTTGTAACAATGGGATAACAATGGATAATAATACCAACTGTTAAACAATACATACCCATTTACAAGCACTTTCTTAAAGTGTATTTTAGGTTTTGAAATGCCCTCTTCTACATATGTATATTTAAATCCAAAAATTCTAAATTGTCTTTACTTATATTACTGGTTAGATCATATCCCCAACCATTTATTGTTTTTTTAAAAAAATCAAAACTCTTCAAATGTTTCTTTTGTACCCTTTCAAATAAAATTTATGTCATCTATATTCTGGTGATAGTGCAGCAGGTGCTCACTCAGTCATGCTGCCCATATATAAAATATAATTCCCAATGGGCCATAAATAAGTTTGCGCAACTGGTTGCGTACCTACTTTTTATCTCCATGACCAGTTTTTACAAGTAACAATGAGTGAAGTACTAGAAGTAACTGTTATTTAAAGTCCATTCAAAACTTTCCAATGGGAAAATAATTGCTTTTGTTTTAGATCTGATTCCTCTTCTAAAAAATATCTGATTGATATAATGATGTTACATCACAAGATACAAGCATGGGTGGTGTTATCTTTAGGTGGGGATAATACTACCCAGGTCATGCTCTAGTAAATATACATTTCTTTATTCTCACCAATATTGATGCTAGTAATTACTTCACAATTGGAGCTTTTTATATTTTTATCTCCCATATATTCTTCAAAATTGGTTACTCATCTGGAGACTTCTCACCTGGATCAATTTTTATCCTAAAACGGGGATTATACCATCCATGCCCATAAAAGCAGAGCACTGAGTTAGCCCTGGTAAATGTGAGTGTGATATAAGATGGATTAATTACTTTATACTTCCATACTGTTTTGCACTATTATTTGTTTTGTTTCTTTTTTTTTATTCTGAGGTTTTTACTATTGGATCACTTCAGTGACATCTGTATGTATATAAGCACACACTGAGGTTGTATTTTTGTGTTTACCATTCTTTGTTATAATACTAAGTGTGACAGAGTCCCTGTCCCTGAATTATTGTTGCGCATTTACTGGTCCGGTATACTAACATCACCGTACAGATTGAACAATTTGGTTCGTATACCAAACTATATACCAAATGGACAGACCACCCAGAACAGTTGTGTGCCGCTCATTAACTTGCCTGACCTCTTTCATACTTTCGCAAACCACAATTACCAATATTCTAAGTGGTCGACTGGATGGTCGCCATTTGTATAGATTAACACGAGGCGGCGGCCATCTTGGTTTTTGCGAACGCATACAGCAGTGTTTGGTCGTTGACTGTATGGAACTAAAATCGGGCACTCGACGGTGCGAACACCGCTGGGACTTCCAACCCCATGTATGTTCGGGGACATCTCTGGCGGAAACCCCGCTTCTTTCGAGGTGGCTGACACATTAAGTTTGGGTATCCTCATACTATTTCACTGCTGCCCACACTTTTATTCTCTATTTTTATAATAGTGAGCGCCTATCATCTTTCTTGCTCTCTATAATAACACATATAGTATCTTATTTATTGATTATTTAACTGTACTAATAGTCCCTCTGGCCCAGTCAGGATGATTGAAATTTCAATTGATAAAAAAATTACCCAGATCTGCAGCCTTATAAAACTGAGATAGCAGTTGCTCTTCCCTATCAGAATTAAAGGGACATTCCACTACTACCAAATATGATGACAATTTTCTCTTGCAACAGAACAACCTTGAAATGTGTGCAGAGATGGTTGTTCATCCCCTTGCTTGTCAAATGTCCCAAGACATTTTTCCTGCTAAGCTCCTCGTGCCACGGCCAGCATTTTTCAAAACCTCCATCACCCACACTATCAAAATGATTTCACACTTTCCCCCTGTGCTCTAGACTCTTTTGTTCAACTTGAAATAGGGAGGTCTAGTGTGGCCTGGCACCCCGACTGTGAGCTTTCACCAATTCCTAGTACCTCTGAGTACTTTCAAGCGCTCCACCAGACACCATAACCACTTTAAACCCCACAACGAGCGTTACAGCTTGGTTGGGATCTCGCTGTCCTGCACCCACCCTGGACCCAAGACCAGGATCCAGCTTCCATTGGGTAGACCTCTTCTAATCCAGAGAGTAAGACTGGTAGCACCGTGTTGTAATCCAAGGGAGTATAAGAGTATAGCAATCCCCAGAGTGAATTTAGCTGTCCCCTCCACACATGAGACGAGGCTCTATGTTGAGGGTGAAGATGAACTGATTTAATGGGAGCCACATGCAGCTCCCCATGCAAGGTGTTTCTTATTACATATTCCAGGGGCATTCTCCACGGGACCTGAGAAGAGACTACAGTAAAAGTGGACAGCTACATTAACTATCAGGTCCAGGACATACATAACAAAAACACCCCAAAATACACACTTAACAATTGAGTACCCCCTCAAGTCCTATATCCCTGGATAGACTGGAT